TAACAAGTCTGACACTACACAGACCCATCCAGAAGAGTATTTATTTCTTCTGCCAAATACTGAGAAAAAACTGCTGTGAATAACTAGACTGTGAAACATTGAAATATGTTTGCAAGACCAGATCAGGGGAGTCGATGCCAGGAAGAATATTTACAGTTCAGGAACCTAGAAAACCATTTTATAAAGCAAATAGAAATCTGGGTCAGACTGATGCCCCAGTGTTAATTGTGGCGTCTGATCAAAGAGCTAGGGAAAGTTTAGCTAAACGGATTACATTCGTCTACTCTTACCAGCTGCCATAGTCTAATTAATGGTTGTCATCATTCTTCATTCATGTGAGCTTCTTAAACACCAGCTTATCACTTTGTTGTTGTTGTTGTTGTTGTTTTTTTTCGATATTGTGCATCATCACTAGGGTTTGAATGGGACTCTTATTTGTGAGCCAAGAAAAAACCTGGATTGGAATGAGCCTTCTTCCTCTGCAATCATTTGTCAGAAGCGGGGATAAATAAAAGTATCAATTAGTGCAAGTTTTATGTGTCAGACCTGCTTCAAAGTAAACGCTCTGAGATCTGTGGAATAATTAGCCGAATTTTGTACAAACCATGGGAAGTCTCTTTCCTGGTTGTTATATAGAAGGCGCCTGATGAAAGTACAGCAACTTAGTGTTTTTTTTTTTGATTCTGGCTTCAATACCTGATTAGGGCGATTAACAAATATGTAAGGCAAAAGAAAGTCCTAGCTGCCATGGTTATACTGTGGTATCTAATGATTTCAATGAGACAACCTTCTTCCTTGTAAGGATATTTATTGAATAATCAAATGAAAAACCAAATGATGAAACAATGTTTGATCAATGGTTATAACAGGATGAATCCATCCCACACATGACAACTTATTTACTTTGTTATTGCCAAAAAGCCCTTCTTTGGAAAGAAAACTGCAGTCAACTGAGGACAAGGTCTCCCTAGCAGGTCACACAGGTCTGAACACCCTGTCCTCAGTGAACTCAGCATCAGATCTCACATGTTCTCAGATTGTCCTCAATACACATTGTAAAATACATATTTTAAACGTAATAGTTGTTTGTAGGTTAATGTTTTACTGTTTACGTCATAGTATTAGGAAAGGTCACATATTATGCAAAATCCACTTTACCATGTTTTATAAACACTAATATGGAACCCTAGTCTGTCTACAAACCCCCCAAAAAATGAGAAAAGTCCATCCTCTCTTGTCACTTGGCTGCTCCACTTTTCAGAAAAATGTGTGCTCAAACAGGCGGTTTGTAGATTTCCCCTTTATGACATCATTAAGGGCAGTTACCCCTCCCCATGTGGGTGACACTCCCACAGTTAGGTGTTTGTTCTGCCCACTGAATCTGCCTTCTCACTGTAAACAATAGTCTAGGGCATAGAGGGAGAAAGACAGAGCCACCCAGCCCTTCCAGAGAGGGGCGTGGTCAGGCCCAGCTCATTTGCATTTAAAGCTACAGACACAGAAACAGCCTGACCAGGGATGAAATAGAGAGGTTTATAGGCGTGCTAAAAATACAGGATCATAGTGGATGTATCAAGACACTTTAATGACATGTTTTGTGGAAGTCTGAGACTTCAACTTGTTTTAAGAGTATAATATGTGACCTTTAATATAATTACCAAACATGCATTTTCTTAATTTAATACTTTAATATCTGGACCCATGAAAATAATACACACCACAATATTCAAAGTTTTAAAAGATTATGCACCAAATTAATTTAATACAGAAAATTTCAAAGCATGGAATTAAAAAAAAGAGCGAAAACACTTTTCCTTGTTAAGAGAGGGAATTTAAAAAATCTAAAACGAGGCAACCCTTCTGAAGCCTATGTCTTTGAAAATCTTCAAAAACAAAGAATTATACTCAGCCTAATCCTTCTTTTAACTGGCATTAAGCAGGATCTGTTTCGGCTTACATTCATCTGTAAAAATGACAAACAGAAACTGTGAGCTAAATTATCTTTGTGTTGACACAGCTCTCCATGTAATACAATAAGGGCAAATAAAAATGTTTTTGATGCAGAAATAATTTGACTCTTGAAAAATGTGCAGAAAATGCCCAGTAAACAAGAAATGGATGTATGGTGTTCCTTGATTGCAGACATAATGAGTTGATGGCACATATTTCAGAATGTCTCAAGAGGATTTACTGACTATCATCACTACAAATTCATCACAGCCCTCTCTATATTTATGTTTTCTATCATTTTTTTTTTTTCATTTTTTTTAATCCATACAAGTCAAGGTGGTCGATATTACAGGCTGCCAAAATTGCTTGCCTTAAAAGCACACTCAATAGACACTCTCGCTACATTAGATTGTCAAACTCATGCCAGACTTGTGACGCAGTTTCTGTTAAGAACAGCAGGTAGGTAAAGGAAAAGACGTAGAAAATAACAACTCCTGAGACATTGTATAAATGTAGAAAGGGTTCTGCTTTGTGAGGAGGTTTATAGATAACGCATCTGCACAGCTCCTTGGTGTTAGATCACAAAACCAGTCAGATAACAATAATCATTTCTGGAGGGAGTGCAAAGACTCTCAACAGTGATATGCAAACTGATTAAATAAACAAAAGAACATGAAGGACTATTTTATCAAGATGGAGAAAAATGTTGAGAGTCCAAGAGTTCTGGGGTGAAGTATCCTTCAGCCGTACAGGCGCTACACTATTGTTGAAGTGTCATTTTATCCCAAATCTACCCTTGCAAGGTTGCTTTGTTGTTTCTTCAGATAGAGCAGCAGCTGTGGTCAGCAGTTTTTATGACCATATTAGAGGAAAGCTATTAGACTTTTCCACCTTTTGGTTTCCTTTCAATCCATAACCACCCATCAACAGTGAAGTATACTGCAACCAATATGTATCCAAGCTGACCACGACTTTTTGATCTCTTTTTAAAGAGTAAACTTTTCTGCTTTTCACGCCCGCCTACATCAAATGAACATTTGCTTCTGAAAGGACAATTTTGGGTGAGAAACAGAAAAATCAATAGAAGCTACACTGCAGAAAACATTTTTATGGCTACCCTGTTTTACAAGGATATTATGATGAAATCCCAGCAAGCTGTTGACAAGTTGTTCACATCAATGAATGTGGGCTGGACACAAGAGCATTGTGCTTAATGTTCAGGCCCCGAGCTCGCACTCTCAGCTGGCCAACAAAAACGTGTTAAGTTATTAGTCACTGAAGGCTTGTGACTCAGGTAGTAAGCTTCACTACACGTCAGAGATGTTACACTCACAAGCAGAAATTGCCTTCAAATTCAGATGTATTTATGTTTTTTGCTACTCACGGCCATGATCTTTTAAAAAAACCTGAGTGCTAAATTTGCAATTACACTCACAAATACCTTATTACCTGATAATTATAGATAAATAATCTGTTGTCCTTGAATCACTGAAGAGTGCATTTCTATCTTTCTTCTCAAAATGGAAGAAAAGGCAGGAAACTAACCTTGAGGCTTCTTTGGTAAATCTTCGCCTCAGGGCAAGGAACACCGCGGCTCTGGTGGTCAATGGGGCTAACTAACCGACAGGTCCATGCGGACTCTCAAAGAGAACTGGACGTCTCTCTTTTGTTGCTGTTATTACTTTCCGTTCTCAATTGTTTGCCACTTATTTGTCACAATACCTCCAGGGCCATGGCTTGTGTTCGGGTAGAGCAGCATCCACTGGACCATTGTCCTCTACCAGCTCTCCTGACGGGACACTTTGTTGGCATGGAGGGTAAAGAGCTTTGAGGTTAGAGCCAAACTGATTTCCTCGGTGGCTTTCCGACTGGTGCTGGCAGTCTGCATGGCATACTGAGAACAGCTAAAGAGCTGAACTTGATTGCCTCTTTTCCTGCTCATTATTACAGTGTTTGTCACATAATATGATGCGATTGTGTTAAGTCCAAACAGCGCTGGAATGATGTGTAAAACAACTGCCAGATGATAATTGTGACCCCAGTCTCATCATGTTGTACAATTTACTGACCCATTGTCTAGCTACAATTATCCTTCAAAAGTAAATTGAGATGACCTCGGTCCTGGTCACAGGAATTAGAGTATGGTCCTTGAACACTGTACTTTTGCAGTCAGGGATGATTATTTGTAGTTGCACTTAAGGCCTTTGTAATACTTTGACTAGATGTATGTTTTTGAATCGATGAGCACATGTAACCTTTATGAAGGTAATCAATCTATCTTGTTTTCTTTGAACTTTGGGTCCAATCTCTTCTACCTTTGTGCAAATTCTGTCCTCTCTGTACACTGCACTTTAAGTATATCTGAGTTGCCATCAACTTACTCCGATTTCTACATCTTTTCACTGTCGTATGTAGGATGTTACAATGACATTGTTTTTAAAAATGGTGCTTCTTGTTTCTAACGATGTATTGACACGTGTTCAATGCAAGAAATAGTATATCTGACTAAGAATTATTTTTTGTTTACACAGGATATGAACCACCTTCACATATTTGTATCAACTGCTTGAATATAAGAACTATGTTTGATAAACCATACCATTCAATTGTCAAAGAGATGGTCCAACAACAACCAAAAGCTGCCCTTGTGCACAGCTATTGTAATATGGTTTTTGCTATGTAGGTGTTTACCAAATCAAGTCTTGAAGAAACAGTAGCAGTCATTTTCAGAGTTTTGTATGACTCACCATCTGGAACATCACCTATTCAACATGTTGCCAAAATGTGATACTTTCTTTGATCCATTTAATCCCACGTCTTGCATTTAGAAAAAAAAAAATCAATATAAGGATTACCATTTACATACATTAAACTTCAGAATGTATTTTTTGGGAGACTTCCACACACACATTCTTGTGCCAACAGCTTTAGTTCGGTGCTATTAGAGGAAGGATTACTTTTCAGCAAGATCAATTCAGTGTCTCTTAAAACCCCTCTGCTTTATCCTGGCATTTATCGATATCTAACTGTACTGTTTGTTCTCTCTTTAGGTGCTACCTGTTGGATGGGATCTCTAAAGGAGCATGGCTGAATCGCTCAAGCATCATATTCGCAGGGAACGACAAGTGGTCCGTGGACCCACGTGTGTCCATTGTGTCCAGCGTTGGGGACAAACATGAGTACAGCCTTCAGATACAGAAAGTGGATGTAACTGATGACGGCCAGTACACTTGTTCGATCCAGAGTGAGCGCAATCCACGGCCAAAGCTCCTTAACCTTATTGTTAAAGGTGCGTATATGCAGTTCTTTTTGTACTGCACATTCACTTGAACCTGTGTTTGTGTCTTTTACTTTGTGTTTTTGTGAATGAAGGATTCCAGCTGTCTGCACCTTCATGTGGCATGCTGTCTTTGATTCAGGTTACATACTTTAAAAGATCCTTGCTTTAGTCTTTCTTTCACGATTTATGTCCTTATCTGCTTTTTTAAAAATCTAACATCTTGTTTGTTACACATATAATTTAGCCCCATAATTCCCATAGCGACAGTATTTGTGTGGTATCCATGTACCTAATGGTCACCGTTTTATCAGGCACCATCTGTGCTAATAAAAAGGCTGTCATTCTCTTCCATAGAGTAGGAACAAGAGCTTGAGTCATTCCGCTTTGTGTAACATAAAACAGAATCTTTTCAGCAGAGACATTTCTTCTGTGGAGGCAAACTGACATTGTAGGGTACATTTTGTGCCTGTAGGCTATGCAACACAAAGTAGAAGCTTGTTGGTGTGAATGGCTGCAGGCAGACTGTGTAGCTTTAATCAAGCCTCTCTGGGATTTGTCTCAGCAGATAACAGAGAAAGACAAGAATCTAAGGACTTTTTACTGAAATTTTCTCTAGTTATTGATACCGTATGCTTTTCGTGTCACTGCTTTGGTTAACAGGTTTTAAATGTCTGAATTAAAACCGTTAAGCCTTTATCACTATACAACTTCTACTGGGTTCTTGAGAGGTTCTTTTTCGACATTCAAGGAACAATTTGTGACATTTTACACATAATCATAGCAGAAATCAAGTAAACTGTATCATATGTTAATGTCTCTGTGAGTCATGATTGTCCACAATGAGTCAGAATCGTGAGTCCTGCTGGTTGTGTTGTTGTCAGGGCTGTGTTTACATGGATGGGACGGCTGGCTCCTCCCCTTGCATGCTGTATAAAAGCTGTTTAAGTCAATGACTAGAGAAAAGAAGAATAACTCACTACTTATTTGAATGTCACAATCATTTTTAGATCAAAGTCATTCCATGCCAATTTAGATGCAACGTGCAGCTATGAGCTAACTAGCGTGTGTTAACATTAGCCCGCACACACATTTATGCAGGCCACAGGCAATCACAGCTCGAGCTAAGGACAATTTTGTCTGCTGCTTCAGCTCGACTCCTCCATGCTAGCGAGAGTTGAGAGGGGTTGAAGCTGGTGTGTCACTGGAGGAGAGCGGAGGCTTCAGTATGGCAGACGTGACGGCAAACAGCAGTTTGGTTTGGTTCTTATGCTGGTTGAAATCTTCTGGATCAAAAAGTTGCACATTCGTCCTTTAAGAAGACTGTTGTAAGCACAGAGATCAAATTGAAGGAAGTGTCTTAATTGTTACTCGTTGGGGAAATGAGTAGAGGCTGAGTTTGTATGCTGAAACATCTGACTGTGGATTAGCAAAAGAAAACATTGGTGCTGAAAACTCCTTTTGAAATGCCATATCCTTCTTTAATAGGCCAATGCAAAAAAGTTACAGCATGGTCCAGTTGGTTCTGCATATGTTTACGATGGAGTTATAATGAGGGTATTAGATTACCTAACAACCTGTCTAATACAAACACACTTTACCTCCTATTTATAATTTGTTTTTTTCCCATAAAAAAACAAACTGTGAAGGCCTGCATTTTTCACATTGTTAACACCTTTGTTTTCTCCTGTGAAAAAATCACAAATGAAAACAAGATTATTATTTTTTTCTGTTAATGGCCATGTGCTTTTGGATTTATTTCAACATAATGCGTCAATATGCACACTTCCACACAGGCAGCCCAGTATTATTAGAAGAGTTAGGGGTCAGACACACTTCTTGTAGAAGTGTGAGCTGTGATATCTGAAGTGCGTAAGTGGAAAACAGCTCTCCAGCTGGTGTTGCTGATATGACATATGGGGTGTGCGTATGAAAATTATTTAAAGTGGTGTTATAATACCTGCCGTTTGTTTTGTTTGGTCTAAACCGTAATTGAAATTAATCATGTCTTAATTCACTCTGCCCTGGCACAAACACGAATAGGGTCTGAACAGTGGAGGAAAAAGAAGTGATAGTGTTCATAACTGTTAAGAAAACATTACTAACCATAAGCAATAACCCAGAAAGCAGCTTGCCCCCGGCTCATTTTCCTATTCTAAATTCTCTAAGCTCCTGGCTATCATACGTCAACACATTCATCTTCTTGCACTGAACTTATAAAACTGAGTGGGTGTAGGCTGGTGCTGTGGTTGGTTTGAGCATGCCCTCCGCGCCTTTCGATTATTGTTGTTGTTTATGAGGTTGTCTATTAAACTGTCAGATACTTGGCTCATGATAAGAGTGCAACTCAGCTCACTTACCTAAGAAATGGTTAAAAAACCTAACCCATTAACAAAGGGTCACATAATGAACCCCCTCTGTATGGTGGAAATAATCCCTGGTTACATCGCTGAACATGTACGAGCTCATGTATTGTTTGTTGATAGATATACACCTAAGCTTTGTGCCTTAAATACAACTACAGTTCTCTATCAGCACTCGTCAACTTGTCAGAGACCCTTGCTGTTTTGCAGTTGAAATGACTGTCTGTTAGCGGGGAGGTCAGAGGGGGAAGCTCTGCCACTGCCAATGTGTCCATCAAGAGCCTAATGTCTTGTTTAAGTTCCCTCCAGCAAGCAACCCTTCCCTTTGTACTGTATGTCTTTTCTGCCCTCATTTCCTCCTTGTGAATGGTCAAGTCAGTCTCTCAAAACCCACCCATCCAACCTTAACTAATCCTTCCAGTCAGTCCTGACGTCAATACTTTATTCAGTGGATCGGCTCTGTATGAGATGTTAAGGATCTACAATAAATACATTTAACAAAGTAGCGTTTCTGCTGTTAACCCAGCACATTATGCTATTATGTATCACAATAAAGGCAGATGGAGGCCTTTATTTTGAAATGAAAAGTGTTCAAGGTAAGATAAGCTGAACAAAATCACTACACTATAATTTCTGCAGTCATTGTGAGGAAGTTGTTTTGACACATTACAGAAACAAATGAACTTTTAATAAATTAGAAATCATCACATGTTGATTAAAGATGAATAAAGGGACTATGTGGGAAGGAGAATAACATTACATACACAGTAACATATCATTCGTACAACAGACTTCAAGCATCAGGAAAATAAATGTTAAAGTTGGGTGTATTCCCAGAAGAAAAGTCCAATTGTTCAACTCTGAGTTTTAAAAATACCATTATATAGTTAATATTATATTAAACTGCTAAACTCAGGGGCTCTGCCAAGAAAGCCTTTAGATGGATTATTCAACATTATTGGCTATATGACAAAGCCCCGTCCAGGCCCACTTGTTTGTTTACTGTAACTTATTGTGCTCCAGCTGTCCAAATCGCCCCATTGTCCTTCCATTAAAACTGTGGAAGTCTTTCCTGATGTTCAGCCCTGAGAGTGACTGAACTGTGCGATGGCTGAGTTACAATTAATGACACAGCAAGCAGAGCTGCTCTGGCTTAAACAAACTGCTGCTTTGCCTCTGCTCAAGCTGCATTTATAGGTGTAACATGCCTGTAAATATACATGTGGATAGACGACAATCAGCTGCCTTGCAGGCATTTATGGTCACTACAGGGGCATCATGTTTTTGGAGTTGTTGGCTTTTTGAAGAACATTCTGTAATGGGAATCTGACCAGGGGTGTTTCAGGTCATGGCAACTTCTCACCACTGGCCATATGGCCACAATCAAACCGAAGCTAATGTGCCAGCTGTCAGTTCTATAATATGTTTTTCAATGCCCAGAATTCCTGATGGATGTGACCTAGTGGCTAAGATTTGGCAACAGTTTGATACACACACACAAATTGTTTTTCCGCTGTTCAAATCTGGAACACGGTTTGCAGTTTTAGCTACGACGCCCATCACTTTAAGGATTATATACGGGGTTTTCTATTCCACAGAAACAAGTATACATAAATAAATCTCAGTAATAACACTTTGTTTCGTAACACCTGTATAGCTGCAGCTTCATGTCACATTTGAAACCAAGGGTCAAGAAGCCAGAGGGTCGATTGGATGGTATCTCTTTGATTGAGGCACGGATTGAAACACACAAGAGTAGGAGAAAAGGTGAAACGCACAGATTAGAAAACGTTTGATGTTACTTTGAACTGTTGACAGCTTTTTCATCTTTTAGTAAGCTCAATGGTGTTGTGAGTGTGTCATCTGAATCTGCTGCTGTTGAGTCATCAGGCAAATGGGTCGCCAGCCGTTGAGGCAGAGTTGTGATCTGAGTGTGAGCTGCAGGCAGGAAGTTTGTCGAAAATGCAGATGAGTCATTTTAGCTGATGAATGCCAACGGTGTCTTCTCTAGCAGGGTACTAAAGGTAGATCAAAATTAAACTTCATTTCATTCCTCGCCCCTCTGTCATTTCTTTATTGATGCACAACCACCACAAGACATGTGTGATGTTCTGGCACCTCCAGAACTTCACACCATATTCTACTTCGCTTTGACAAAACCCTGTATGCTGTGAATGATTACCTGTCACCAAGCGACACTTGTGTACACATGCTTAAGCCCACTCATCTAGAAAAGAGGGATTTCTTTACAGATGAGATGTAGCAGGTGAGAAGATCTGTCATGTGGCAGAGGATTCTGGGAGCGTGCTATTTTTTTATTTTTTTTCTTCTTTTTTTTACATCTGCAGAAAGGAAAAGTATGACTTGCTTTGAAAAAAAAAAAAAATACCCAGACACTTTAATCTGGGCTTTTCAGTCCAAGCATACAACATGTGTTAATGCTGCGACACGAATGTTACAGTTGAAGTAAAAGGATTTCATGGCGTTGGATCTTTTTGGCACTATTGCTTTGCTCGACAGTGCACCATGCAGAGTGAAAACAGAAAATGGGAGCAAGAAAGGATTACTGTATATGGGGGGAAAATATGCAATGGTCTCTCAACCCATTTCAGGTGCATGAGAGGGTCTTCCATCAGCTGATCCTTGGAA